TTTAGATTTTTGTTAATAATATAATATCTCTCGATTGTTCATTTTTTATTAAAGATAAGGCATGAGTAAGGATGACAATCGGGTTCGTCAGCTCGAGTCGCCCATGACTCAACTTGAAAAGAGCTTGAGCCTGTTTGGCTTGAGGCTCGAGAGAACTGAGCTGAAGCTCGGATCAAGCCCCATTTTGGGGTGCCGGGCAAAGCTCGAGCCAACCAGTGTGGCTCGTCGGCTCAGACTCACAAACCTATATTAAAAAATAATAATAATAAAAATAAAAATTAAAGGTGCCTTAAAAAAATAGAAAAAAAATAAATAAATTACCAAAATCGAGCCGGCCCGAGCCGAAAGCTCGAGTCGAGCCTAATTTTGTTGAACGGGCTTTTGCTTGGCTCGTCTCTAGTTCGGACAAAAGCTCGATCATTTTAACTGAGCTAAACTCGAGTTTCGAATTTCGACTTGCGAGCTGGCTCGACTCGACTCGATTCGTTGACATCCTTAAGCGTGAGTTTATAAATGAGTTATTGCAAAGAATATAATTTACTCTTTTATTTAACTTTTTCCAACTTTCTAGCAAAAACAATTTACAATAATAAGATGTTGAGGTCCTAATTAACTTTTTATGGCCGATACTAATAATTAAAAAGTACAAATACCATAGACAATTCAAGCTAATTTTATGGAATAATTTTGATATTACAATTGAGTTTGAAAAGGTGGTCTCATTTATCCGAATTGTTATAGAAGCAGAATTGGAAATAGAGATTGACGAATATAGATCAAACATTTTTATTAATTTACTTTATAATCATTTTTAAATTCAACGAGTCCCCCTCGAATGAGAATAAACTAATATGCACTAATTTTTTTTCTAAGTTTTTTGTTCGAAGACAAATATTAATTTATTTTGATCATTATGTATATGTTAGTAGTAAGTTACTATGCCCCTGTTTTGTTTTGTTAAATATTAGTTTTTAATAAATTATGATATAAAAGTTGATGAAATGTGTTGTTTGAAAAATTAGTAAAAGTCATGCATTCTATGAAATATGTGATTAAAATTAATTATTGATTTTAACTTAAATTTTTATTAATCTTTTAGTTAAATCAAACTTGGACCATAATAAGTTTGATAGAGACGAGTACTACTTCAATACCATTCTATATATTTCGAAAGAACAAATGAATTTATTAAGGTTTAGTACTTGAATGTTGGTAAATTATTAATGGAACCATGGATGTAAAACCAATCAATCCACCTTCAAGACAATCCAACATTTTCTAGCATCTTGAAACCGTTACGAAAAAGTTCAAGACAATCCATCAATCCACCTCTATCAAAAGAAATATGCTTTAGACATATTAGAGGATTATGATTTTTCTGGTTGCAAACCAATTGCCTTTCCAATAGAATCTACTCTCAAGCTGAAAATAGAAGGCATTAACCTTCTATCTGATCCTTCCATTTATAAAAGACTCATTGGCAGATTGATTTATCTCACCATTACTAGAGTTGACCTTGCTTATTTAGTCCAAGTCCTCAGTCAGTTTATGTCTAAACCTACTCGGTCACATTTGGACGTTGCTCATGGGGTTCTCGGGTACGTTAACGCTACCCCCAATGAAGGCTTATTTTTCCTTCCAAATCAGAATTGTACCTCAAGACTTAAGTGACAGTGATTGAGCTGGCTGTCTTGATACTAGACGTAGTATTATAGGCCTTACAATTTTCCTTGATAAGTCCCTAGTTTCCTGGAATCCAAGAAACAAGATGCTGTTAGTAGATCCTTTGCAAAAGTTGAGTATCGCTATAACCATTTGCAACTTGTAAAATCCAATGTTTAGTCTATCCTTTAAAAGGATTTAACTGTCAATCATTTTCAACCACTTCTCTTATACACTTATATAGCAAATAAGCAATTTCAATTGCTACAATTTTGTCCAACACGAGAGAACAAAGCACATTTAAATAGACTACCACTTTGTTTGCGAAAAATTACAGTTTGGCTTGATTAAAATCACCCATGTCCATTCTCACCATCAGCTTGCAAATGACTTAACAAAACCACTTGGTTTTGTCAAGTTTGATGGGCATCTTGAACATCCATGCCCCTCTTGAGGGGGTCTCATGATACAGAATCAGTTCTAGCTATCAAAAGACAGTTAAAATAATTATGTTGATGTGGAAGCTCAGCTAGATATAGCTAGGTCCAGTTAAAATACAGATAGATTTAGTTAGAAACATTTAGATAGCTAACTCGATTGTATGTGTAAGATTAGACAAAACTCCATAACCTAATCGGACTAAATTGGACCCGAATCGAGTAAAACCGAACCAAATCGAATCAATCGGTTCTTCTTAAGTTAAATAATTGAATAGATATTTGAATCGAGAACCTACGGATTCGACTCGATTCTCAGTTTTAGACCAAGAACTGAAGAATCGAATTTTATCTTCTTTTTTTTTTTTTTTTTTTATCTTAAGTGAGTTCAATTATTTTATTTTTTAAATAAATTTGCTAACTAATTAACCCAAATTTAAAATATAATTTTCCTATTTCTAATTTTCAATCAAACCAAACTTAATCAAATTGAACTAAGTTTTACCCAAATATCTTATTCTACTGTTTCTGCCGTATTGGAGAAATCAAATTAAAAACTTGGTTACACCTCCATTTATTATTGTGAGTTCACTATTTTCCTATTCTTGTGATTATAACAGTTAAATCTATGAAAAACTCAACAAAGAGAGATACAAAAGATATCATGGGATTACACTATGTTAATTGTAAAAGTTAAGATTGAACATTTCATAGTTGAATTAATGTAGCATTGTTGTAAAATATAAGAAAATTAATTATTGTACGAAATCGACTCTGAATGAAACCGAACCGAACTTATTCGAACCGAATAGAACCAAACCCGAACGATTTCCATAATTAAATTTGGACCCAGCAGTTTTACTTACTAAATACCCAAAAATTCGGGTTTCTATTCAATAATCTTTAAAATCGAATTGAAACATGTCCAGCTCTAATTACGCGAATTAGCTAGCCTATATATACTTGCAGATGTACTATGCAGATTTAATTCTTCGATAAGATCAAAATTTATTTTCTTCTATCTTCTCTATTTTTCTTTCCTGACTCCAGCTGCTTCAAGCCAGAATTATCTTTGTTTCAATTTCTCTAAATGAAGCGATGTTACAGTTTAGGAATTTCACATTAAGGGTTTCTATTTCTCCTAGGCAAGATTAGTTTTTCTGTAACAACAAAAACAAAGGCAAAAGGCAAATATATAACTCCCATTAAAGATGCAAATGCAACTACTGTCAAGTGTGCTATATTTCGAGACATGATTCGACATGATATATTATGGAGGATAGAATTAATGTGGATAATGATGAATTATTTTAATATGACGTATGCTGGTACACCATACTTAAAAATGTACAAGTGTTAAACAAATAATAATAATAATAATAAAATTTCAACCAGAAGTGATATTTCGCTTATAAGTTATAAATAAAAAATTTGTCCGTAAGTGAAATTTTAGTTTTACGTAATTTTTTACACATAAAATTTGTAATTATAATTGATCTTTCACTTATAAATTAAAATGATTTATTTTAAAATTTATCTATTTACTTAAATTTAAATAAATCTATTTCTGAAAATTTACTTTATTTTACTTGCAAATAAATTCATCAATACACCGTGTCAGCATTAGAATGTGAGCGAGGGACAAGAGGATTGTGGGTGGGAAGCCTGCTCCCTATCCCAGCTTGGGGATAGGGGTGCCACATGCCCCTCCCTATTGGAGGAGGGCCTGTCAAATGGTGCCCCTGTCTTCAACCTTGTCCCCAAGTTGGGACAGGGGGTTTTATCCTTGTGGGTGGTGCGTGGGGATTTACAAAAATTATTTATCTTGTAAGATTTGCTTATTTATGTACGAGTAAATTTACTTTCTATCAACGAGTGTTTGTATAACCCACCTTTTTTTTTACTTAAAAGTAAAAATGAGATTCTTAAAAGTAACTCTTACATTATCAAAATAAATAATTTACTTTTAACTCAAATTGGTTAAAATATTTAATTATATTAAAATTTACTTATTCACTTATAAGTAATTTATTTTTTGTCTACTAACATTGTTGGATAAATTACCATTTTCAAGTATTCCTTTGTTGTCAAAATAAGTAACTTATTTATTTTTATTTTTAATTAATAAGAGACATTATTCATTCTAAAAATTACTTGTAACTTTTATTTTGTCAATTGTTCATGGAAACTTTATTTTATTTTATTTTTATGAAATTTGTTGTTTTTCTAAGAAAAAATGTAGAATTTGAGATACTATCTTTTACTATTTCTCAAAATCCACAAGATATTACGGATTTCTCATAATATTTTTTTTTCTAAAAAAAAATAAATTATCAAACACCTAAAGTGACTGTGATTAATGCTTGATGGATATGCTCATATGCATATGAATCAATCATCTTGGAGCTGGATGGATAATTATCACTTTTTTGAGCAGATACGCGCCACAAAATTGAACTCATGATTATAACCCTTGAGCCCACTGATTTTGTGGCCAAATTTCATCATTTAGGTTGTCAAATTAGAACATTTATCCCTCGTTTGCCCCTCATTCTTCTTCTAATTCTTTTTTATCTTATTTTCAATTACACAATCTTCCATAAAATAATATTACATACAAATCAAAATTTTTCATTCTTTTTCAAACACATATTTTTCAATAAAATAATATTTCAACCATTAAAATTTGAAAAGAATGGAGGTCAAACGGGGGCTTACTCAGGTGGAAATTGATATATATTAATTTCCTTCATTGTTTAGATTAATGGGAGCTTCGTTTAGATTAATTACTTTAAAGTTTGTCTTTGTTTTAGTATAGTAAGTTAAACTTCTTAATGAAGACATGGGTTCTACTTGCCAGCAACAATCTCACTAAGATTCAAGTTATGATGAAATTCGTAGATGATTAGTTCACAAATCAAGGATTTGGGTAAATTAAAGTACATTATTGGCTTGGAAATCTCACAAGAAGGAATCACCCTCTATCAGAAGAAATGTGCTTTAGACATATTAGAGGATTATGATGTTTCTGGTTGCAAACCAATTGCCTTTCCAATAGAATCTACTCTTAAGCTGAAAACCCAAGCCTACCTTCTATCTGCTCCTTCCATTCATAGAAGACTCATTGGCAGTTTGATTTATCTCACCATTACTAGAGTATTTAGTCCAAGTTCTCAGTCAGTTAATGTCTAAACCTGCTCAATCACATTTGGACGCTGCTCACTGGGTTCTCAGGTACATTAACACTACCCCCAATGAAGGCTTATTTTTCCTTCCAAATCAAAATTGCACCTCAAGACTTACAATGACAGTGATTGGGCTAGCTGTCTTGATATTAGACGTAGTATTATAGGCTTTACAACTTTCCTTGGTAAGTCCCTAGTTTCCTAGAATCCGAAAAACAAGCTACTCTTAGTAGATCCTTTGTGAAAGTTGAGTATCTAGCTCTGCAACTTGTGAAATCCAATGTTTAGTCTATCCTTTAAAGGATTTGATTGTTAATAATTTTCAACCACCTCTCTTATACACTTATAGCAAATCAATAATTTCAATTGCTACAATTTTGTCCAACACGAGAGAACAAAGAATTTTCAAATAGACTGTCACTTTGTTCGCGAAAAATTTTGGTTTGATTAAAATCACCCATATCCATTCTCACCATCAACTTGCAAATGACTTAAAAAAACCACTTGGTTTTGTCACGTTTGATGGGCATCTTGAACATCCACGCACGTCTTAAGGAGAGTCTTATAATACAGAATCAGTTCTAGCAGCCAAAAGACGGTTAAAATAATTATGTTGACATGGAAGCTCAGTTAGATATAGCTAGGCCCAGTTAAGATACAGATAGTGCTATTTAGAAACAATTAGATAGTTAAATCAATTGTATGTGTAAGGCTAGACAAAACTCCATAACCTCGAACTGAATTGGACCCGAATCGAGTTAAACTGAACCAAATCGAATCAATCGGCTCTTCTTAAGTTAAATAATTGAACGAATATTTGAATCGAGAACCTACGAGTTCGACTCGATTCTCGGTTCTAGACCAAGAACTGAAGAATCGAATCTCAACTAATTTTTTTTTAAATTTTCTTTTATCTTAAATAAGTTAAGTTATTTTATTTTTTAAATAAATTTGCTAACTAATTAACCCAAATTTAAAATATGATTTTCCTATTTTTAATTTTCAATTAAGCACAATTTAATTAAATTGAACTAAGTTTTACCCAAATATCTTATTCTACTGTTTCTATCAAATTAAAAGCTTGGTTACACCTCCATTGATTATTGTGAGTTCGCTATCTTCCTATTCTCGTGATTATAATAGTCAAATATATGAAAAACTCAACAAAGAGAGGTACAAAAGATATCACGGGATTCAACTATGTTATTTTGTAAAAGTCAAGATTGAACATTTCATAGTTAAATTAATGTAGCATTGTTGTAAAATATAAGAAAATTAATTATTGTACGAAATCGACACTAAATGGAACCGAACCGAACTAATTTGAACTGAATAGAACCAAACCCGAACGATTTCATAATTAAATTTAGACCCAACAGTTCTACTTACCAAATACCTAAAAATTCGTGTTTCAATTCAATATTCTTTAGAATCGAATCGAAACATGTCTAGCCCTAATTACGCGAATTAGCTAGCCTATATATACTTGCAGATTTAATTCTTCGATAAGATCAAAATT